CTGATACAATTTGATGAACTTGACCTACACCTATGGAAGCAGTAGCTCAAAGAGGGAACAAATCTTTACAGCGACGATCATTCCCACTCCCTCAGTACATAGGGTAGACAGGGATGGGCAACTTGGACATTGGCTACCCAAAATGGTGGCAGGGGGGCTACAAAGGCAAAGCTTACAAACTTTCAAGAGGGAGCCTAGATCCAGAGGACACACAGGAAGGTAGAATCCCCACTGAGTAGTATCCAACCTGTCTGTGCAGGGCTGATGAAAGGAGATGAGGATAGGTCTGTTGTGGTACAATAGTAAATAATTGTTATCAGGACTGACTGTAAGGGTTGGAAATGTAAAGGTAGATGTTTTGTAGCAAAAGGAGGGGAGTGGTTGACTTTGCAGTCCAGGAGTGGAGGTCCCTGGGACCAGCAAGGGAGAAGAGTGGAGAGCGGGACCCTACCCAGAGAAGCAGTGACACCAGAGATGGAGGCAGAGACGATGATGTGGAGAGATGGAGCAGATGGGGACTTTAGACCCAGAGAGGGAGAGGGGCTGTGTACTGACGACTGAGGGGCAGGCTTGCAGGGTATACCCTTTGGTTGTTTGATGATACATGGAGGGGATTGTAACCATGGCAATGAAATGATATACTATAGGATGAATGTAGAGCTAATGTTCTCCCATGTAGACTATCTCATAATTCATAATAAAACATTAAAAAGAAAAAGAAGAGCTGGGTGTGGAGTGCATCGTTTGGACCCAGGGTCCCTGCTCTGGGAACCTCCTAGACCCAGGAGACAAAACATTATAACAGGAGAGATGGTGAGAAACAGCAGCAGCAGAGGCAGGAGAATCAGGAGGTGGCATGGGGGGGGGGGGGCACCTTCAGGACAAGGCTTACTGGAGGTGCAGGGAGCCTCAGGGAACTTACTGGCAGAGCTAAAGAGTTTTGTAACAATTGCCAGACTAGAACAGAGGCCAAGGACTGAGGAACTGAGAGGACAAGGGCCAGAGAGAGCATGGCTGCACACAAGGCTGAGAAGAAGCCGTCCTGACCAATAACTGTATCCTCAGTCAGTTCTGGTTCTGAATTGCAACCTGTTACTTCCCAATAAACCCCCCAATCATGAGTACTGTGAGTTCTGTGTGGCCACTGCAACAAACTATCAAACCCAGCAGCAGAGGAGAGAGTTCTGTGGGAGGACTGACTGGTATCAGAACTGGTAAAAAGCTTGTCAAGAAGAGGTATGTCTGACTTCCACTGCTTAGCAATCAGCTGATAATGATATTCCTTCCCCCTTGTGAAATCAGAGGCGGTCAGAAGCCTCGGCCAGGCCAATTTTACATTGAGCAACTTAATCAAGTCCACACAGCTTGCAAACAGCAGAGCCAGAAATCAAAGATAGGTCTGTCTCCTTCTGGAGTAGCAAATACATGGTACTCCTGCTCAGCAAGAGGAAGCAGGTGAGAATGTGTTGGGCATGAATGGTGTCTGGGCTCAGATGCATGTGAAGCAGAGAGGGTGCAGCATGCATGCTCAGGAAATGCAGCTTGACCCCAGTGGAGGATTCATTTGGAGAGCAGTACAGAAGTGGACTGCTAACCACAAGGTCAGTGGTTCAAACCCACCAGTCTCGTATCAGAAACTCTATACAGGGTTGCTATGAGTAAGAACCAACTCAATGGCATTCAACAACAACAACAGAAATAGGGTTAGAGAAGGCCTTGAGTGCCAAGGCAAAAGAGTGGTTTTTATTCTGTAGTCAAAAGGGGCCAGGGCCAGTTTGTCGGCAGGGCGGGGAGAGGTAACAGATGAATGACAGACAGGGTGTGTTTACTGGCGATGTGTGGGGCCCATCAGAGAGAGACGGCAGTAGAATGGAAAGCAGTAGTGGCTGAACTGTGGTAACCAGCCAAGTTGTTGGTGTCAAGTCAATTCTACCTCATTGTGATGTCGTCATGTGTGTCAGAGTAGAACTGTGCTCCAGGGGCTGAGTTTTCAGAAATAGATTGCCAGGTCTTTCTTCCAAGGCACCTGAATGAACTCAAGCTGCCAACCTTTGGCTGCCTCACCCAAGGACTCCTTCCTACTGTGATAGAGATGCTATTTTTATGTCCATTTTACAGATGAGACACTGAGGCTGAGGGAGATTACATGACTGAGCAAAAGTTCCAGAGCCAGGACATACATGTGTTGAAGCTCAAGTCAGTCTAATTCCAGAGCCCATGCTCTTGACCAGCCCATGGTTTACCAGGCCCTGTGTGAGCTGACCCGGCCTACTGCTTCCACACTCTCTCCCTGATCAGTCTGTGCTCTCCACCCTTCTGCTTCCCCCTGCCTCAGGGCCTTCTCACAGATCCAGTGAGATCCTGGACATCTTGTGCTCCTCAGGTCGTTTTCCCACAGCTCTGGGTACTGACAGTTACCACAATCACAACTGTTTAGCTGTTCAGTGTGCCTGAGGTCTGCAGGGCAGTGGCCTTTGTGTCTGTTCACTGTTGTGCTGCACGCGCCAAAGGCCTCAGTGTATGCTTGTTGGTAGGTCTCAGTGAATGCTTGATGAGATGATGTAAGAATGCAAATGTCCCCAAGAGCCAGGCCTCTGGGAGCTTTCAGGAATCTTGAGCCCCTACCCTTCTCTTTGCAACAAACAAGCAGGCTCAGTTTGCCAGTTACCCTAGCCCTGGACAAGTGGGAAAATTCACCTCAAGTGTGCAGCACAGAAAGTAGGAGTCAAGGGAGGTAGCTTAAGTCACCAGCAGCCTTGGCAAAAGGCTGAAATGCCACCCCAGGCCCCCCTCCTCTGCTGGCCTTTAGGGTGCACTCACTATTCCCTGGCGATCTCCAGGTCCTTTCTGTGGCTCTGCAGGGCTGCTGCCATCTGCCCCAGTTCAATCTGGGCATTCCCGATGCAGCTGTACAAGTTTCCAACCAGCTCGTCCTTGTTGGGCACCTCTTCTTTGTTCCACTCCAACACCTTCTTCAGCACTTTCTCAGCTTTCTGAAGGCTCCCATCAGCACTGCCGCTGGTCAGCACTGCCCAGGGAGAGTGGGGATGTGGGGAGGGGAATCCTCATTCCTCAGGGACAACCCCTCCCTCCCAAGATGCCAGCCACAAGTCGGGAACTCAGGGTACTGTACATGCCGCCGTCCCCCCACTTGGCCCAGACCCAGGCATCTGTCAAGCTGTGTGAGAGCACCACCTACACATGTCAATATCCTCAAGGCTTTTGAGGATGTAACGGGCTGTCTGCGAGGGACGGCGTTTAGAGTCACGTAGCCATTTCGCTTGCATCAGCTTCCGGTCTCGCTCCCTGGCATAGATGGGCTTCTGCTGTCTCCAGAAGTCGCTGCGAGTGTCCAGATAGTTGATGCCGGTCATGATGAGGTCCTCCACTGTCAGGCCGCGCTTGATAGTGCCTTTGATGAGGTCTGTGGAGAGGGGTGTGTAAAAAGAGACCAATTTAAGGGGTCCCTGCTGCTGGGAGAACATGTGGAGAGCGAGAACATGGGTAGCAGAGTGGGCTTATCCAGGCCGGGGTAAGGCCAGAGCCTCCCTATCGGCCCTCCCATGCATGGTACAGAGCTAAATGAAGAGGTCCTTTATGGCAAGATATAGGAAGCTACCAGAAGGAATGGCTCGTGGGGAGTGTTCTGAGCAGTCTCCAGCCTTCCTCTGTGTCCTCAGAACTAAATGTATGACCTGACCCAGGACACCCATGCCAAGTGATTGCTGAGGTGCCAAGCAAGCCAGTGCATGCTGGGAGCTGGAGGGGGGTATGCCCAAAGTCTTGCCTGCCCACCTGTCCAGAGGTTATAGCTGGTGGCAAAGCTGCATCCAGCCGCACGGCTAATGTTCAGGCTAGCCCTGTCCTTCACAGAGGCCACCCCAGGCAGCTCCTCAGGAGGGAGAGCAGTAGACAGGCTTGTCACCAAGGAGACTATCAGTGGAGACGCTGCCATGTGACTGACTAGCAGGGAATCCTGCATTAGACCTTAGGAAGCCAGTTCTGGGAAAAGGTATCTGATTCAAGAGCAACCCTTGCTCAGGCTTACAAGCTAATGTAATGACAAGACCCTCAGCCCCACGTTTATGAGACACGGACTTCAAGGCTCTGCCCTGTCTACTGTTGCTAACAACATAGTGAGATGGACAGAGCAGTGGACTGGAGGTTACAACGCATGGGTTCTGGTGTTAGCTCCACCACTAACTTGCTTGTCACCTTTGACCAGTTGCTCCCGGTTCTGAGTCTCTGTTTCCTCGTCTATAACAGGAGGGATGGAAGAGGTAATGCTTCAGAATGTTCTAGTGCTAGTATCCTAGGACCTGTCTTCTAGCTCCTCTCAGTTGGATTCCTTTGCCCGTGTATAGACTGGGGGCCCAGGAAACATCCCTATCAGAGACTACAGTGATAGAGGGGTCCAAATCGCTGTCATGCCCTCTCAGGGTACCCAAATGATTAAGAACACAGACGCTGAAATAGAACTTCCTGGATTCACCTCTGAGCCTTGTCACTTCCTATCTGCATGTGATCAGAGGCTTAATTTCCTCCTCTGTAAAATGAGGGTAATAGTAAGGCATGTCCACAGGTACATGTTAGCTGCCTCTGGCTCACATTGAAGCATCCACCCCAGGTACCCTGTTGCAAACCAAGCATCTGAAACCTTCATCTAGTAGAAGCTTTTCCAGGTACTCCTTGTCCACAGAGAGCTCCCCCAGGAGCTGGCGGATGGTCTTCTCACTCTTCAACGAGCACTTCCGTTTGCTCTCCCTCTTGGTGTCATGCAAGAAGTGTCTCACAGGATGAGGCTTCTGCTGGGCTTTCATATTCTGGGAAGGTAGAGCAATCCCCAACAGGGTCTCAACAAACTCTACCTAGCTATGACCCCAATCTGTGGTCCCCTCCTCCTCCTCCTCCAGGACCTCTTGGTGGGCCAAGAACCAGGTGGTGTATCAGGGACACTGGCTGCCACCTGGTTTGGGAAAAGTTAGATTCCCAAGACCCCTTGGGAGTCTTGTGGTCATCTAGCCTCCCCTCAGATTCAGGACCCTTACCTCAGCTTGCTTGCTTAAAAAAGAAAGGTCCCCTCTGTTCTCCAGTTTAACTGATGAAGGACCTGCAAGGTCAATAGCTGTTATTTAGGACAGCCAGGCCCCCAGGCATGACCCATTACATATTTTTATGTGGAAATGGCTGACTTTGGCAGGGGGATGGTAGAGACTGTGGTAAAGCTGGCCCTGAGCCAGTCTAGCAAGCAAACTGTACAGGCAGTTTGAGTCAATTCTCCGAGGAGTTAGCCCCTGCTCGCCCAAGGCCATGGTAGCCAGATTTCCAAACAGAGAAAGCCCATGGAATTGGGGGGGGGGGTCTCCAAGTGTGGGGACCATTTCTACACTTGGCCACCACAGATCTGAACACTGGAAAGCTCTCCCTGTGCTCCAGCATCCTGTGCCATTGAGCTGATGAGCAAGAACAGCCTGTTGGGAGCATGTGACTACAGAGGGAGTCAGCCGGGGACTAAGCCTGACCCCTAGTCAATACTATGACAAAGACAGGCCTACTTTGAAACAGTTTTGCAGGTGCTGCTGTACTTGGAACAATGGATCTAGGTCTGGTCTTCCAAATGGGCAGTTCCTAGTATTCAGCAAAATCAGCATCAACAGCTAAATCTAAATCCACATGACTCCCATGTTCACCCACTGTGCCTTAGGCCTTCCCCCCAATCTAAGATCCATGGGTCACTCACTCCCTACTGAGTTGTTGATGGCTTCCTGGGCTTTCTGAATTCCAACTTTGAATTCCCGGTCAGGCCGCAGCTTATAGCCTCGATGATAGAACACCAAGGCAAATTCAAAGTCTCCCATGGTGTACAGTGTCTCGGCCTTTTGTAATATCCCCTGGAATGAGAGGAAGTCTAATCAAGGTGGACAGACAAGGCTTTATTGGACTCAGCGGTAGTAGAACCAAAGGGTCCTGAGTTAAGGGTCAAGGTTGGGATGCAGGGGCGAGGGAGTTGAACAAGTGAAGCAAAAATGACATCAAACTCTAGCTAGTCTGGCTGGTTCTTCAACTATCTATAGCCAGAACTGCTGCAGGCAACTGCAATGGTGAAAGAATGAGTTGCTCTGGAAGTGTAGTGGGTTACGAGTTGGGCTGCTAACTGCGAGGTCAGCAGTTCGAATATACCAGCCACCCAACAGAGAGAACGGTGAGGCTTTCTGTAAAGATTTACAGCCTCAGAAACTCTATACAGGGTTGCTATGAGATGGAACCGACCCCACGGCACACCACCACCACCAACACCACCACCAGCTGGTAGTCACCTTGCAGAAAGTTGGGTCACCCTGGAGTGAAGCCTCAGCATCCTTCAAGGAATTCTCCAGGTCTCCCATCTTCAAGAAACACTTGGAGCGGGCAACCAGACAGTTCTTGTCTCCGTTCTGAAGGTGGAGAGCCTGAGAAAGGAACAACTCAGGAATGATAGGTATCATGCAGGCCAAGGAAAGTGCTCTCCCGAAAGGCTAGCCCCAGAGTTTTAAGGGGGGGGCCACAACCAGGCCCCCTGGAGTTTATCAACTCCAAAGCAACACAGTGCTGATCTTTGCTCAGTCCGCATAATGATCTGCATGTGGTTCAGTGTGAACAGGGGCAAATCACAGGCTTGAGATGTGGGAATGTGCTATTCTGTGGATATATTGTTGTTGTTGTTGTTAAGTGCCGTTGAGTCGGTTCCGACCCATAGCGACTCTGTATAGGGTTTGCGAGGAGCAGCTGTTCATTGACCTTGCAGTTCAAATGGCTTGGCAGTCTGGTGCATTAACCCATAGCACCATACCAGGACAATACCTGGGATTCCCCCTAGTCCACACAGACAACTGAATCTTACAATTTATTATTTCTTGTTGTTGTTAAGTGTTGTTGAATCTGTATGACCTGCTTAGTACACATCAATTCAACCACCTGAAATGGCTGCACAACACATTCAGAACACACTTCCAAAACTTACATGGGGTTACCATGAACTGGAATCCACTCAATGACACATAGCAACATCAACAACATGGCAAAAAAGCCAGAAAAACTGCAGCTGTGAGAGACGATGACGTGGAGAGATGGAGCAGCTGGGACTTTAGACCCATAGAGGGAGAGGGGGGCAGGCTTGCAGGGTGTACCCTTTGGTTGGTTGAGGATGTATGGTGGGGACTGTAACTATGGCAATGAAACGATACATAATAGGATGAATGTAAAGTTAATGTTCTCCCATGTAAACTATCTCATAATTCACAATAAAACATTAAAAAAAAAAAAAAAACCACTGCAGCTGTGGTTTTGACCCCAATGTGGAGGTGAAACAAGTACCCCATGTCTATTCTCTGAGATCACCATACTCTTTGATGTATGTCCTTTGTGAGGCATCAGATGGTACTCAGCCCTTTGTAAGACTTCCTACTTTTCTAAGAAGCGGAAGTAGCTACTGCCTTTCAGAGAAGAGGTCACCCCTCATCCAAGGTTACCTTCCCTCAGGGTGTTCACTCCCTGCCAGGGTTTTTGGAGGATGGAATATGGTCCAACAATTTGAGAGAGGAAAACAGATGAAGGTAGGGCTCCTGAACTCAGCTATTGGCTCAACCGGTCAATCATTTCTAGTTTGAGGGTATGGTAGGTAATTGAAAGGGACAAAAAAAGTCTTGATACCCATTGAGAAGCTTGACTTTAGGAAGAATCTTGGGGCTACTGTTGTTAAGTACCACTGAACTGACTGATTCAAAGCAAGTCTTACTGGATTTCTCAATCTGTAAAAAGCTTTATGGGAGGAGAAAGTCTCATCTTTCTCCTGCAGAGTGACTGGTGGGCTCAAAGCACCCAATTTATGGTCAGCAGTCCTGGACTTACCCTACTCGGGTCCTTGTGATCCCCTTGGGGCTATTAGAAGAATAAGAATGATCTCTTTGCAGCAAAATAAATTGTCATAATAACTTACAGCTTGCCCAAGAGGATGTATAGTATGCTGATAAGCACCTCAGCACTGGAGTCTAAGTGCTTAGGTTTGCATCCTTTCTCTGCTACTTGCTAGTTTAGTGAAGTTGGGCATGTTATTCAACCCATCAGTTTCCTTATCTATAAAATGGGGCAGTAGTAACTCTCTCAAAGACTTGTACTGCATTTAGCAGTTTGCCTGATATTCTAAAACAGCATTCAGTCTCCCTTGGTTAGAAGGACAATACTAAGGTTGCATATAATAATGTTAGTTATTTGACCAGTTGTTAAGTCAACTCACTCATGTTGGTCCCATGTTTGTCAGAGTAGAACTGTACTCCACCAGGGTTTCAAAGATTGATTTTTCTAAAATAGATAGCCAGGCCTTTCTTCCAAGTTTTCTCTAGGTGTGCTCAAACCATATATATATATATATATACGTGTGTATGTATATATATTTATTTAAATAAACTTCCTAACTAATGGTGGGATATTGAGGTTGCTGTGTGGAAGGAAGCCAGTTAATCATGAAACATTTAAATAAAATTAGTAGGGGAAGGAGTCACTGCTAATCCCAAGAATGGTTATTAACAATCAGGAGGAAAATAATTGGAAACTGGTAGAAAATAACCAGCGGTGGGGCTTATCTGTAGCTGATGGAGCTACTTGGTGGCATTTCAATCAAGAAATAGGGAATAATAGAGACAATAGTAACTAACTGAATATGGTTCTGCAGGCATCATTAGAACTTCTGTGTAATGGAGAATTAAAAGAGGAGATCATTGGTTAGTAAATTCAGAACACGACTCACATTGCTAAAGCTCTGGGCAGCTTTAGTGTATTCGCCGCATAGATAGAGCCGCTCGCCCTCCGCCATGTAAGAGGGAAAAGTGCTTCGCAAAACTTCATTATCTGGGTCCGACATGGTAACCGGATTAGGAGAAGCTGAAAGAGAAAAGGGAGAAAAAGGAGCCCTAGAACGTCTGTTTAGCTTGTAGAAGCCTTGTCTCTTAGCAACAGGGAGGTTTAAACATACTTCCGGCCCCGCCCTTCGCTCACAGCAACCTGAATCCCGGGTGCAACAGCTGCGTGTGCGCATGCGTCTGTGCTGCAGCGCACAGGGCTGGAGCGTGATGGGCGCGTGGCTGCTGACGCAAGGCTATCGTCTTCCGAAAGTGTTTTCTATGCCACGCTCCATCGGGTCTCTCCAGAATTTCTATGTGTCCACAATTTACCGGGAAGACTCGCGTATAGGCAGCCAAAAAAGCAAGAAGGGTTTAGAGGCAAAATTCCAAATAAGGATAAGTCATACATGGCGAAGATTCGAACACCTTATGCCTCTGTCAGAAAGAGAGTATTGGGCTTGAAGGCAGAATAGTGGGGCTGCTCTAACACTCCTGCTCCTTCCTAAATTGTGACCCTGAGCGAGACATAATAACTCTGAACCTTAACATTTTTTGCCAAATGAGCATGTAAACAATGAATGAAACCTTCAGGGATGTGTTCCTTGGAAACCCTATATAGGGTCGCTATGGGCTGGAATGGAGTACTGGTATGGAGCTGTAGGACAAGCACTGGATCGCAAAGTTGGCGGTTCAAACTCACCAGCTGCGTCTCGGAAACCGTATACAGGGTAGCTATGAGTCAGAACCTACTTGATGGCGCTTACAAACAACAGGGTTGGAACTGACTTGATGGAACTTAGCACCAACAACAAACATGGCAAATAGGGGACCGCGGTGGCACCATACATAAGCACTGGACTGCAAACCACAAGTTCAGAGTTTCGAACCCACCAACTGCTCCATGGTAGAAAGATGAGGCTTTCTGCTCCTGCAAAGATTTCAAGCCTCCCAAACCCTGTACAAGGTCGCTGTGAGTCGAAACCTACTCAGAGACACTTAACATGAAAACTAAGGGTCCCTGCGTGCACAACCGGTTACGCTGACTGCAAGGTGGACATTTTGAACTCAGAGATGCCTTGGACTCCTGGTGTGTCTGTATGATAAGCACTTTATTGTGAACCACAAGGTTGTTCATTCAAACCTACTAGCTGCTCGGAAACCCTATACAGGACTGCTATAAGTCAGAACAGACTCAACAGCTCTTAACAACAGCAGAGATACCTTGGAAGACGGGCGTGGTGATCTGCTTCCAAAAGGCCACAACCTTGAAACCGATGGAGCAGTTCTACTCTGCACCCATGGGTTGCCGTGAATTGGAATCTACTTGTCAGAAACTAGAAACAACGTGGAAAATAATTGTATTTAACACATTTATTGAGCACTTGCTAGTGGCAAGCCTTGACCAAGTCCTTTCTGGACATCCTCCCCACTCTCTAGGTGCTTCTTCTAGATTCCTGCAGCACTCTAAGTCACTCTTTTAACTATGTTTACCGCGTTACTTTCAAAACTTCTATTCTGAACACTAACCAGCAAGTTTGTGACTTTCATGCTATCTGGCTTATGTTGTAATTCTTAGGTGCTGTCCAGTCGATGATCCGACTTACAGTGAGCTGCTGAGATGGAGTAGAACAGCCCCCAGGTTTTTCTAGGTAGTGATCTGTGTGGTGCTGTGTAAAGTCTGTAAAGCCATTTGAACTGCAAGGTTGGCGGTTCCAGCTCACCAGCTCCTTCTCGGAAACCCTATATAGAGTTGCTATGGGTCGGAACTGACTTGACGGCACTCACTTAACAATAACAACAATCTTTACAGAAGCAGGTTGCCAGATCTTTCTCCCTCAGAGCCCCTGGGTTAGTTCTAATTGCCAACTTCTCTGTTAGCAGGTGAGAACTTCATTATTGTACCACCAGGACCCCTTGTAAAAGAACATGTTGTTGTTAGATGTTGTGTTAGTTCTGACTCATAGCAACCCCATGTAAAGCAGAAGAAAACCCTGCCAGGTTCTGCACCATTCTCACACTCCTTGCTATGTTAGAAGCCACGTTACAGATCTTCCTCTTTTCTCTCTGACCCTCGATTTTACCAAGCAGGTTGTGGTTTTCCAGGGACTGGTCCCTCCTGAGACCATGTCTAAAATACGTGAGACGAAATCTTACTCTTCTTGCTTCTAAGAGGCATTCTGGCTGTACTTCTTCCAACACAGATATGTTCATTCTCTGGCAATCCATGATATATTTCATATTATTCACCAACACTATAATTCAAGTGTATTGATTCTTTAATCTTCCTTATTCAGTGTCCAGCTGTAACATGTATGAGACAATTGTATAGCCTGGGGTCAGTCCTTGGCTTAGATATTAAAATGACATCTTAACTTTTTATCAGTTTAAAGAAGTCTTTTGCAGTAGATTTGCCTAATGCACATGTAGTGGTTACCGCTGTGGAGTCGGTTCTGACTCACAGCAACCCTGTACAGGGTTTTGGAGGCTGTAAATCTTTACGGGAGCAGAAAGCCTCATCTTTCTCCCACGGAACAGCTGGTATTTTCAAACTGCTAACTTTGAGGTTCACAGCTCAATTTGTAACCCCTACCCTACCAGAGCTCCTTTAATGCACGTAATCATATGATTTATTTCTTTTTTAAAAATTTATTATTGAGTACAGGTTTACAGAATAGACCATCAATCCCACATTCAACAAATCATACACTTTGTGTCATTACAATAATTATAATCCCTTCCATGTACCATCAATTACCAGTATTTATCTCTATCACTTAAAGGAGCTCTGGTATCGTAGTAGTCATGAATCGGGCTGCGAACAGTTCAAAGCTACCAGCTGCTCCGTGGGAGAAAGATGAGGCTTTCTGCTCCCGTAAAGATTTACAGCCTCAGAAACCCTGTTCAGGGTCGCTATGGGTTGGAACCGACTCGACGGCACTTAACAACAACAACAACCTCTATCATTTAACTCTTATACTTTTCCCATTGTTTCCAATACCTTCATCTTTCCTCTGCCAATTTCCCTCTTGTTATATAAGACCTTCCCCATTACCCAAGTTAACATATATCTACCCTCTCTACCCAATGAATACTTTTCCCTTCCCCCTCTAGTAACCATCATAGAATGTTTCTTTTAGCAAGGAAACCTTTTCTTAACTTTTTACAACAGTGGTCTCATACAATGTTTGTTCTTTTATGAATTAATAATTTCACTCAGCATAATGTCCTCTAGGTTCATCCTTGCCATGTGGTGCTTTGCAGATTCATCATTATTCTTCAGTGTTTCATGGTATTCAGTTGTGTGTGTACCAAAGTTTGTTTGATCGTTTTTCAATCAGTGGGCATTTAGGCTGTCACAATCATTTTGCTATTGTGAATAGTGCTGTAATGAACATCAATGTGCATGTATTTATTCATGTTACAGCTCTTCTTTCTTGAGGACGTATGTACCAAGTAGAGGGATTGTTGGGTCATACAATATTTCTATTTCCAAATTTCTGAGGAAGCCCCATACCATTTTCCACAGTTCTTGCACCATTTTACGGTTCCACCAGCAATGTAGGAGGGTTCCAGTCTCACTACAACCTCACCAGCATTTGTTGTTTTCTGTTTTTTATAACTTTGTTATCAATGCTGGGCTAAGATGCTATCTCATTGTTGTTTTGATTGTATCTCTCTAATAGCTAATGATCTTGAGCATTTCTTCACATGTTTGTTAGCCGCCTGACTATTATCTTTAGTGAAGTGTCTGTTCATGTCCTCTGCCCATTTTTTTATTGGATTATTTGTCTTCTTGTTGAGGTGTTAAAGTGTTCAATAAGTTTTAGAGAGCAGTCCCTCGTCTGATGATGTCATTGCCAATTTTTTTTTCACTATCTGTGGATTCTCTTTTTACTTTTTTGATGCACATAAATGTCTAATTTTTAGGAGGTCCCAATCTATTTTATCTTCTGCTGTTTTTGTGTTGTAAGTTATGTTTGATAGTATGTTTATGCCATGCATCAAAACTCCTAAGTTTGTCCCTATTTTTTCATTGATGATTTTTATATCTCTAGGTTTCATATTTAGGTCTTTAATCCACGTTGAGTTCATTTTTTTCATATGGTGTGAGATATGGGTCCTGTTTCATTCATTCTTCTGCAAGTGGATTTCCAGTTTTGCCAGCACCATTTATTGAAGAGATTAGCTCTTCCTCATTTAATGTGTTTTGGCTCTTTGTCAAAGATCAACTGATCATAGCTCAATGGATTTACTTCTGAGTTTTTCATTCAATTCCAATGATTTATGTAACTTTCTTTGTGCTGTTTTGACTACTGTGGCTATATGGTTGGCTTTAAGATTGGGAAATGAGAGACCTTCTACTTTGTTCTTTTTTTTTTTTTTTAGTAAAGCTTTGTTTATCTGAAGTCTCTTTCCTTTCCATATAAAGTTAGTGATTAGTTTTTCCATCTCTTTAAAGAATGATGTTGGAATCTGAAAAGGGAATGCATTATAGATTGCTTTGGGTGGTATTGATGTTTTCAAAATGTTATGTCTTTCTATCCATGAGCATGTTCCATTATTCCATTTTTGTAGGTCTCTTTTGTAGCAGTGTTCTTCGTATAGATCTTTTGTTTCTCTGGTTAGATTTATTCCTAAGTATTTCATCTTTTGGGTGGCTATTGTAAATAGTATTGTTTTCCTGATTTCCTTTTCAGAGCTCTCTTTATTAGTGCAAAAGAATGAAACAATTTAAAAAAATGTTTTATTGTGAATTATGTCAGAGTTTACATGGGAGAACATTAGCTTTACATTCATCCTATCATTTATTGTTTCATTGCCATGGTTACAATTCCCTCCATGCATCATCAAACAACCAAAGGGTATACCCTACAAGCCTGCCCCTGGTCTTCAGCACACAGCCTGTCTCCCCCTCTAGGTCTAGAGTCCCCATCCACTCCATCTTTCCATGTCATTGTCTCTGCCTCCATCTCTTGCATCACCGTTTCTCTGGGTTGTTGTTGTCAAGTATCGTCGAGTCGATTCTGATCCATAGCAACCCTGTACAGGGTTTCCAAGGAGTAGCTGGTGAGCT